GCCTCTGTTGAGCGTAGTTGAGATCGTAACACACACACACACACACACAGCACACAACACACAACACACACACACACAGCACACAACACACACACACACACACACAACACACACACAATGAACCTGGGAGGCGTTGGCGAGGGTGAGCTTGGAGAGGGTCGTGTTGGTGGTGGTGAGGACGTCGGTAAAGGCCTGGTAAACGGGCGCCGTGGGCATGCGGTTGCGGTCGAGCACGAGGTGCGTCAGCGAGGTGTTGGTGCGCAGGGCCTCGGCTACAGCCAGGTAGCCGGCCTCGCCGATCCCGTTCTGGGTAAGATTGAGCACACGCAGCGACGTGTTCTGCGCTCACGACCAATCGAACGTATGCGGTGCGTGCGTGCGTGCGTGCGGTCAGTGACGGAGCAATCGCGAGTGTGACAGCGGCTGGCGCGAACCTCGGCCACGGCGGCGGCGATCGCCTGGGCGCCAGCGTCCTCGATAACGTTGGGCTTGCCCTCCAGCGCCTTCGTGGCTTTGGCATAGCCCAGATCCTGCGACACGCAACACACACAAACACACGTGAGTGCGTCGACGCACACACACACACACATGAGTGTGCTGCATGCCCTTGGTAGTGGGTAGGTGGGCCGTACGAGGCAAGTGAGGGTATTGTTGAGGCGGAGCGCGTCGGCGAATGTGGCCGCAGCGCGCGGCCCGAGCTCGTTGGACAGCACGGCCAGCGTCAGCAGGGTCTTGTTCTCCTTGAGGGCCTCAGCGATGAGCAGCCCGCCCTCTTCGCCCAGGTTGTTGAGGCCCAGGTAGAGGTGCTTGATGGTGGTGTTGCGGCGGATGATGCCCGCAATGTGCCGCGCGCCGTCCACGCCAAACTCATCTGGCGGACGCGTGTGAGCGAGCGCACGACACGACACACGAAACACGACACACGACACACGAAACACGACGACGCGTACTGCCCGAGAGGTAGAGGCTGATGATGGAAAGCGGGTGCGCGGCGTCGACGAATGCCTCCTCGAGCAGTCGCGCGCCCTCCACGCCCAGGTTGTTCTGCACCAGATCGAGCGTCTTCACCCTGCATCGATGATTGATCGATTTGACCGTCCATGATCGACCAATTGGTGATGTAGTGGTTAATTATTAGCCAATCGCCCGCGGGTCAGGGTGTGAAGTACGATTGGTTGGTGCGGAGGGCGGAGAGGATGGCCTGGAGGCCCGTCAGGCCGATCTGGTTGCGCTTGAGCCAGTAGCCCTCCACCACGTCGTTGTTCTCGATCGCCTCCGCGATGTACTTGGCGCCCTCCTCACCGATTCCGTTGCATCCCTAGTTGCGTGTGTCGTGTGTCGTGTGTCGTGTGTCGTGTGTCGTGTGTCGTGTGTCGTGTGTCGTGTGTGCGGTGTATTGTGTGTGCGATGTCTGGGTCAGCGCTGGAGCTGGGGGACTGATGGGCCGGGACCTGGCGCACATACGAGGAACACGGTCTTGAGGCTCCTGTTCTTGAGCAGCGCTTGGCCAACTGCACCAGGTCGGGGTCGGTCAGTCGCGCATGTGCGGTGGTGCGGTGGTGCGGTGAGACGATGATGGTGGCGACGAAATGTAAGCGGGCGGGCGAGGCGGTACCGGCGCGGGCTCCCTCGGGTCCGATTTCGTCGGCGCCCAGTAGTACGCTGCGCGCGGTGGTGCTGTTCTCCAGCGCCTCCATGATCTCCCTCGCACCTGCACGCACGGCCGTGTGCGTCAGCTTCACCTTTCCACATTAACTGAAATAAAACAAAATAATATATTAAAACAGCAAGAATAAAATAATAATGAATAATCAATAACACGGGCGTACCCTCGGGGCCGAGCATCTGTTTGCACAGGTCGACCTTGACGACGTTTGATTGATTGGCCCGCAGCCGCTGCACGTACCAGTCAAGTTCCGTGCCGGGTCCCACGCCCTTGAGCGTGCCGCTGGGGTTCGTCCAGACGTCCTCGATCATCGCCTCCGTGTCCATCATTTCTGCACCTTATTTGCTGATATAAACGAAATAGCCAGCTGGCCACAAAGAAAGAAAAGCAGAAGAAAGACTGAATTATCTGAAAAAGGAGACTGCGCATTTTGAGCACAATTTGTTTAATATTTACATTTTACCAAATTAACTAATATCGTGTAACCACGGAGCATTCTTTCCACAACAATACAGCGAACACAACAAGAAGATGCAACATCACGCGAGGAGACCTCTTCTCTTTCTGGCGCTGGTGGTGGTGCTGATGATGGCCGGCGCGGCGTCGGGCCAGAGCGACTGCCGGGGCAAGGTGGGCGGCTACGCCTACGACCTCACCCCGCTCGCGCAGAAGCTTGGCGCTGTGGACCTCCAGACGCGGGATGGCGGCAACCCGCCCCAGAACTACTACTACCGCGTGTGCGGCGTGGTGAGCAACAACTTCTGCCAGACCGTGGACGACATGACGCCCGCCGTGTGCCAGAAGGACACGCGAATCCCTGCGGAGTTCCACGACTGTGGGAACCAGAAGACGGCCACCTTCAGTTCGTTGCCGAACCGCCCCGACGACGCCGGCTTCACTGTCTCCTACTCCGGCGGGCAAGACGGCCGCGCTGCCAAGATCTATTTCGTGTGGTTCGTACACCTAAATTTTGTCCAACAAATTTCGTCACACCAGCTTATTTTGTCCGAACCAGGAAATTTTGATTTTGATTTTTAATTTATATTATTTATTTTGATATATTGCAGCGACCCGAGCAAGGACCCGGGCGTGTTCTCCTGGGTCAACGAAAACCCCGTCAAGACCTACAACCTCCAGTACGTGTCCAAGTACGCCTGCCCGATCGGCGCACCCACGCCCAGCCCGAGCCTGAGCCCGAACCCGGCGCCGCCATGCAAGGGCAACGCGTGCTGCCTCTACCAGTTTGACTCCGACCCGACCATGACCCGGACCCTGTGCGCCACCAAGTGTCCGCCGTTCTTCGGCGGCTTTGCGCTGGTCTTCAACTGGACCGTGTCGCCGTGCACCAGCGACAGCTGCTTCTTCCACAAGAAGTAAGATGTGCGTTACATGCATGCCCATCAACATGTGGGCCACAAACACAATGAGCATTTTCTGCCTACACTCTTGTGCAAGAGTGTAGGCAGAGGACCTGTCACCTTCCTGTCAATGTCACATCCAATGTTGTCTTTCAGGTTGGTGCCCATGCTGTTGAGGTTAGAGTTGTTGAGGAAGGGGAGAGGAAGGTGAGCAGCCAGTTGGAAAGTGTGGAGAGGTCATTGTAAGAAAGGTAGTGGGAGAGAGGCAGATGCCCCCCTTGAGGGTAGTATTAGAGCTCCATTTTGACCTCTTTGAACTCATTGACTGAAATTGAACAGCTCTTCCTTTAGCAGTGAAATCAATGATTTCTCCAAGGAGGAGGTGGCTTGTGTAGCCCAACTACACACATGCTACAAGGCAATCAAGGTCATCCTTTGCCTGTGCATCAATGGCACTGAGCACCACCTGCAGGTGGCATCAGTCTTCCTCAACACCACCTACGCCTCTCTCTTCATGACTTGAGGCCTCCTCAAAGTCCACCACAATCTCATCTTCAAGGGTGTCATGGGTGCTGGCTTCAACATGTGGCACACCCTCCAGAATGGAGGCATCTTGACCCAGGACCACAGTTCCACACTCCAGGTCCTCCAGTTCAGTGTTGGCCAACCTACACCTACCAGTGGCCACTCCATGCAGTCAGTCTTGGAGGGGTGCAAGATAGAACTTCCATTAGTGAGCAGCTGTATCCAACCAGAAGTGAGCAGCTGTGTCTGGGTGGCCATTTAGGGCAGCTGCTTGGACATACTGCAGTGTGAATGGCATACCAGGTACCTGGCTGGATGATGATGAGGTCTCCTAGATACTGATTGACAACACACATCCACATCTAATGGAGTGTGCCATGGCAAACAACAAGAATTGATCAACAACATGCTGTGCAGTCAGGGGTAGGTAGGTTGCACACTTGGAACTTGTCCAAGGTACCACTGTTCATGAAGTTGAGCCAGGATTCATCAAGCTCATTCTTTACCAGCAGTTTAGCCTGGACTGCTGACTGCTTCACCATTGTTGTCATCTGTGGTGTGTGTTGATAGTGTGTGAGGCATGACACAACAAGAGTGGAGGTAGGACTGGTGGTTACATGTACCCTGCCATGCTGGCTTGTGTGGTCAACAAGCAAACAATGATAAAATAGCACCTCAGCATGTCTGTGATCCACATGCTTTCTGTTGGCCCAGCAACAATGATGTAGTGGCAAGGTTGCATACACATACACAATAGAATGTCCTGCAGTTTCATAGCATATTGGGCTTTGAAAATAGCATGTTCAACAGTTCCTTGTTGTTGGCCATGGCTGATAGCAGGGTGACTTGAACCTACATGTACAAAAACTGTAAAACAGGACACTCAGTTTATTGTGTATGTGTATGTACATGTGTATGCAATGACTTCATGTTCAGCCTGTGGATACTAAGTTTATTGTGCGCATGTACATGATCCAGAAAATCTGAACTTAGCTTGTGTTACTTCCCGCCATGACAAGTCAAGTTCCTTACTGGCAGGGGTCTCCGCGTTCTTTGAATTTTTTGGCACTCTGAATTGTCAGCGCTGGTTTCCGCTACCTTAAAAACAATGTAGGATGCGCAATTTGAGCAGCTTTATTTATAATTTTTCCTGTTACATTAATACTAATACTAATACCTAATCCCTTGAGGCAAGGCACAGTCTGCTCTTTCTAAATTCACAAACACAACAATACAGCGAACACAACAAGAAGATGCAACATCACGCGAGGAGACCTCTTCTCTTTCTGGCGCTGGTGGTGGTGCTGATGATGGCCGGCGCGGCGTCGGGCCAGAGCGACTGCCGGGGCAAGGTGGGCGGCTACGCCTACGACCTCACCCCGCTCGCGCAGAAGCTTGGCGCTGTGGACCTCCAGACGCAGGATACACGCAGCCAGAACTACTACTACCGCGTGTGCGGCGTGGTGAGCAACAACTTCTGCCAGACCGTGGACGACATGACGCCCGCCGTGTGCCAGAAGGACTCGCGCATCCCTGCGGAGTTCCACGACCTTGGGAACCAGAAGACGGCCACCTTCAGTTCGTTGCCGAACCGCCCCGACGACGCCGGCTTCACACTCTCCTACTCCGGCGGGCAAGACGGCCGCGCTTCCAAGATCGATTTCGTGTGGTTCGTACACCTACATTTTGTTCCAACATTTAATAGTTTTTTTTTTTTTTGGTAGCGCATCATTTCGGAACCACTTCATTAATCTTCATTTTTGCACTTTTCTTTTTTATATATTGCAGCGACCCGAGCAAGGACCCTGGCGAGTTCTCCTTCCTCCAGGAAGACCCCATCAAGACCTACGACCTCCAGTACGTGTCCAAGTACGCCTGCCCGATCGGCGCACCCACGCCCAGCCCGAGCCTGAGCCCGAACCCGGTGCCGCCGTGCATGGGCAGCGCGTGCTGCCTCTACCAGTTCGGCTCCGACCCGACCATGACCCGGACCCTGTGTGCCCCCCAGTGCCAGCCGTCCTTCGGCGGCTTCACACTGATCTTCAACTGGACCATGTCGCCGTGCACCAGCGACACCTGCTTCTTCCACAAGAAGAAGTAAGATGCGTGCTCCTCGCCCACACAACAAATACATCAATGTCCTCCTTCACTCTCGTGTTGGTGGTGGCCACGTAACGCCTTATTTTTGAAGCAACGGTTACGTGTTACGGCTGCTGCGGGCGCAAAGCTTCAAGCTGACGCCAAACCTGGGGCGCCATCATCCTGCCGAAGCGCTCGACCCGGCACTCGGCCTCCTGTTCGTCGTCGCCGCCTTCTCTATCATCTTTCGCCTCCTCGTGTTCCTCCTTCGCTTCTTCTCGTTCTTGGTCGTCTTGTTGGAGCTGGCGCTTGCGCTGGTGGTGCTTCCATCGCCTCTCCCACGAGGCCACCCGCTCGATCTCTCTCAGGGCGTCGTCGCGGCGCATCGTCCGTCGGTGGTACTCCACCGCCTCGGCCCAGTAGGCCTCGTTGGCCGCTGCCTGCTGGCCCGCGAGCTCCTCGCCTCCGCCACCAGTAGCTGAGACGGGCTGGGCGCCACCTGTGTCGACTG